TTTCTGATGAAGAGTCTAGGCCCGAAACATCAGCCTTTCTGCTCCTATGATGCTGCTTGGCCTGCTGTGTTCATCCAGCTCTGCACCTTGTTGTCTCGGATTCTCCAGCATCTGCAGTTCCTACTATACCTGTAATGGCTGCTGGGATTACATGACCCTCCCAAACAATTCAATTCAAATATACAAAATGGATGCATCAGAATTATAGTTTATCACAAAGAGGCAACGCTTTGAGAAAATCACATCTCTTATTTAATTTACACTTGGATGATAAATTCACATGTTGGTGATGAAAGTACTTACCTCTAAGTATTCAGTTTGAAAAAGTCAATGGTGGAATTTTCCCATGGCCAAATAGTCATTATTGCAGTGTAGATGGGAATTGTGCATGGGAACTGTGCAAAATCCCCACCACAGCAGACTCCAAAGGAATCGCTTGGGAAATTGAAGATTCCTTTGGGCAATTCGTCAACAGGTGGAATCATCCAAAAATCTCCATTTAAAGTGGAGACTTCAGAAATGTTCCAATGAAATAAAGTAGACTCATTACCCAGGAAACAAAGTTACTATTAAATGCATAGGTTAATTCATGAGTAACTATTTTAAAAGAACCCATGTTTTTCTCAAACTTCCTCAGCTATACCTTCCCACACTCCTGACACACCCTCCAGACCCTTTCCACTTCTTCGCTTCCCTGCAGTTCATCCCTCACCGTGGACTCAACCCAACACAGCTCAATTGCTTTCTGCTATTACACGCAACCCATTGTTAGCCACTAACAGTCCCCATTATTAGCTATTCATTCCTCAGTCCAATGGACTTTTTAAACCATTGTTACCTTGTGGTAATTACATAACAAAGTTCACCACTGGTCACCATGTTGTATGCATTGTTGAACCAACCACCACAACCAACAGATGTTTGGGGCAAAATGCTGCCCACTCATGTTCTTTTCTATTGTTTTCAATAAACCTTATACAAGTAGTGAAAACACTAAACCAGATTATTATCTCAATGGCAACAGATTGGGGAAGGGGGAGCTGCAACAAGGCCTGGGTGTCCTTTTCCACTGAAAGTCAGCATACAGTCAAGACAGCAAATGGTATGTTGTACTTCACAGTGAGAGGTTTCGAGTGCAGGAGCAAGGATTTCTGCCTGCAATTATACAGGGTTTTGGTGAGACCACACTTGGAGTATTTGTGTGCAGTTCTGCAGGTCTTTATCTGAGGTACAATGTTCTGGTTGTTTGGGTAGTCCAACAAAGGGTTATCGGACTGATTGCTGGGATGGCAGGATTGACACGTGGAGAGAAAAATGAATGGAAATCTCATAGAAACCTATGAACCTCTGACAGGACTAAACAGGGTAAACACAGGAAGGATGTTCCTGATGATCAGTGGTCCTAGCCTAAGGATAAGGGCTAAGCCATTTAGGATTGAGATGAGGAAAATTTCTTCACCCAGAGATTGGTGAGTCTGTGGAATTCTTTGTCATAGAAAGTGTTTAAGGCCAAAACATTGAGTGTTTTCAAGAAGGAGTTAGATCAAGTTCTTAGGGCTAAAGCAATTAAAGGGTATGACGAGAAAGGGGGGAAATAGGGTGTTGAGTTTGATGCTCAGCCATGACCATATTAAATGGTGGAGCAGGCTCAAAGGGCTGAATGGCCTGCTCCTGTTCCTAGTTTCTATATTTCTATATTTCTGGGACACTGGTTGCCATGGTGTAATGGTGAGCGCGCTGGTTTCTGAACCCTGTGATCCGAGTTCAAATCTAGGTGTAGCCTTCTTCCTGGTGAAGTGAGTGATGAGCCTTGGAAAGTTTTATTTTGGGGCAGCACGGTGGCTCAGTGGTTAGCACTGCTGCGTCACAGCACCAGCAACCTGGGTTCGATTCCAGCCTCGGGCACCTGTCTGCGTGGAGTTTGCACATTCTCCCCGTGTCTGCGTGGGTTTCCTCCGGGTGCTCTGGTTTCCTCCCACAGTCCAAAGTTGTGCAGGTTAGGTGGATTGGCCATGCTAAATTGCCCATGGTGTTCAGAGATGTGTAGATTAGGTGGGTTACAGGGGAATGGGTCTGGGTGGGATGGTCTGATGTTCGGTTTGGACTTGTTGGGCCGAATGCCCTGTTTCCACACTGTAGGGATTCTATGATTCTATGACTGTAATAAAAACTAAGATCCATCAACAGAATCTTACTGAGCTGTAACAAAAACTTTTCAAAATTAGGATAAAAAGCCCTTTCTACTCTTTTAAAGAAGAAATGAATCAAGTTAAGCAGCCTCTCATGGGGGCATATCCTCTTATCTGAACCGGATCTAGAAAAGCTTATTTGGTTAGTGATGGTAGTGAGCCACAAATTAGTTTTAACAAGAGGTGGCACTTGTCTTAAATAATGTTGTTTATCGCATGATGGTGATATATGCAAGTTAAACAGTCCTGGTTATAATGCCAAACTAGTCAATCAGAAGAAAATAACGAGACATCTAACTCCCTCGAGATTCATGTTGGACTCCTCTTTTCCCCACCAAAGACCATATGGCATCATTAGATTGAGTGGGATTCAATGCAGTCTCCAACATTAACCCTTTCAGAACCATTACCTTATCCAATATTGCGCACCTTCTCACCGAATCTCTACCGTTCCAAAGTCGCTAGAGTTTCAATTTGTCAAACATCTTATGAAAACTAAATACCCCACAACTCGAACATCAAAGCAGCTAAAATGCAGCCAAACATCAAAGAATTTAACAACACAAGGATTTTGTGTCTCCAAGTATACTGTGAGATGATAAAAGACTGGATGTGTAATATTGCTTCTCTTTGATGCAGCATCACGAAAATAGTATGAAGGAAATACGGGCAAATACAACTTAAGTAGAACTATAGAACTGCTATTGCATTGTTATAGGATCTTGCAGAATTAGGTCCTTCATCCAGTCACTCTTGAAAGATCTTAAAGTGCTGCGGACATACATAATAACCTAGAAAATGACCGCATAATCCAGGAGGCAGCAGAGAAAACCTGCCTTTCAGCACCAATGCAGTTTATTAACTTAATGAACCTGACATAAAACATATCGATTGTTAACTTTGTTGTAAATTCTGAAGAAAGTAAAAGTGTCTGTCAGCACTGTTGAATATCCTTCATCACCAACACAACTTCTCCTGCTCTTTTGAAGTCATATTTCTGAAATATATACCACTTATTAAATATATATGGGAATGCACCTTTCATTGCCTGATCTTTATTCATGGACTTCTCAGGCCAAAGGCAAAATGGGGAGAAAGGATCAAAGGGGAGACTTCAAATTGTCACCTTTCCAACTTTTATAAATAATTGCAGAATTTCAGCTCTGAAAATTTAACACACTTGTATGACATCCCTGCTCCTGCGCTGGTTCACACTGACATTAACACAATTGAAATAAAATAGCAAGGGAATTTTTCACTTGCAATTACTGCCCTTTGGTCTCAATGAGAAAACAGAATTTTATGGGAGTTTTAAAAAAAAAATTCAGGTGTAAATCCACAACCAAAAGACTGCACATTATGTAACAAATTTAGAGAACATTACCTACCTAATTCATATGCTCGCATGTGAACTGGCTAATTTATTATTACTACAAAGGACATTGTGAGTTAGAAATTAAGTAGACCAGATATGTTTTTAAAAAAATTCAGTAAGGACTCCAATTATATTCAAACATTCCTAATCCACATAGACTGAACTCTTAAGGTAAAAATATAGATAGCTAGCCTTGGCAGAAGGTAAGGCAAATTTAAAGCTTTTAATTAAGTTCCTACTAAATTGTTTGCAGTATTCAACAAGTTTTTCCAACAGACTGAGAATTAATATGTTCCCTTTTTCATCATAAATCACTTCCAATTTTGTCTGAAGGCATTGTGTCTGACATTCACTCTGTGGCCTGATTTGGGCTCACCTTCTCTTCAATCTCAGCTGCTGTCCTCTTAGTGGTCTCCAGATTTTCTACCAAGGCTGTGTCTCCGAGGAAGTTTCCAGAAGCAGAGGAGAGGCGGGAAAGCAGGTTGTCCTCCAAGGTTTTCAAGGTGATTTTGAAGCCATTCTGCTGCTTTGTGAGGTTGGACTACAAAGGGAAATACCACAGAGATTTCAATCATATTTTAAGAACATCACCTGCAACACAAGAGCAAAAGTTACAAGGAGACAAGCCTTTTATGAAAGCCTCAGTCAATTAAAATTACAAATGACGGCAAAAATGAGGTTACTGTCTGCTTTATAGAATGTGTGTTTGGTGATTTCATTCTAACATCACTCCTGCGACCTAATTAGAACATCAGAGCAATTACAAAGTGCAGATTTTTTTTTATTACTTTGCTAATTAAAATGGGGTTAATAATATATTGCTCAAATCTTCAATGGAATGGGACAGTACTTTGGGGAATAAAAGAGTACACGAGTTACATCTATTCCAAGACTGAATGAAGTACAAGTGACAAGCCACAACAGAATATTAGAATGATTAACTTCTCAAGTAAGGAGATAAGAGGGGAGTTCTACTCGGATCTATGTCACTGACACAAGTTGTTACGTCCAACCAGACTGTGTTGCATTTTATTCTGTACGGGAATTTGCTCCACTTCACACGCTTCTTTTTACTCTGCCTCCTTCCCCTCCACAAATCAAGCATCTTCTTAATGAACCATTTTAAGCATTTCCCCCAGTGATCACGGCACTGGAGACCACTAAGAGGACAGCAGCTCTCTGTGCAAAGAAATTATTTGCAAATCTTTACTTCATCTGTTCGTGGCTTTCTTTCATATGATTCCCCTTTTGTTGTGCCATGTGGAAACAGTTTCCCTACAATTTCCCTGTCAAGCCCTTTTATAATTTTAAAGGGCTCCTCACAGTATTCTCTTTTCTAGAGAAAGCAACAGGGGGGCTAAATTTTACTCTCACCGCTGGTGGATTTGAAGATTGGAGGGAACACGCAAAATTTACTGGGTGCATGCTGCCACTCACCACCTGACCTATGTCCTCTGCCAATATTCACAGAATGGAGGAGACATATGTGGCGCACGAGTGAGGCAGTTAATAAATGAATTACCATTTTATACTGCCTCATCCCACTGCCATGTGGAAAGCCAGTCACACTTGCTGAAGACTGGGTCCAGGGGACAATCCTTCCTCAACGTCATAGTCCACTTTCCCATGCCGCCTCAGAAATCCAGGCCCAAGGCTCCTTGCTCTGGCTTGCCAGCCTTGCCACAGCGAGACTCCTTTGGGTCTGAGCACCTCTTTATCAGGATTCTTTGTAGATCCAGCAGCGGCCACCACTCCCAGCAGAGCTGCTGGCGATGGAGAGCTGAGACACCACTGTCTCCAGATGGAGCACTTCCAGCTACTTCACGCGCTGATCCCAGCAGTACATTTGTGAATGGGGTTGGGCTCCTCCCTCATGATTGGTTAACTGACAGGAGGTGGATTACACCACTACATTAATTCCAAGCCTTGTCTCCCTCAATCTTTTCAAACAGTTTATGAATTCTCTGAATTCTGGTTACATCCTTGCAAATTTATTCTGTCCTTTCTCCTTTAACTTAATTTGTTTTTACTTTGTAGACAAGAAATGCACACAATACTCCAAATGTGATACCACCCAGGTTTTATATAAATGTTAACCTTAAAACTGCCTTTCAATTGTATTTCCTTACAAATGAATCCTCATACATCACTTTCACTCTTTAGGGCCTAATCAACTGGTGTTGTCACTTTTAGAGATTTAGGTTTCCGTATTCCCAGATGTTTCCTCAAGTACCTTCAAAAATCTGCTGTAACCTAATATCAGATGCATTCTCTAAAATCAGGCATTGCCTGTCATTCTGGACATTTTCCAACTGTTTGTAGATTTTAACTCTTCTAGGAACGGGGTGCTCATGATGGCAACTTGGTGCAGATGCTGTGATGGTCACAGTTGAGACAATCTTCCTGAAGTAACTGCACAAATCATACATTAGATCTACATCTCTTCATGTTCATCACCATGTCGGATCTAAATGAAGTGGCTCAGCCAAACAAACTGAAACTAATCCTTCATGATTAGGAAAATCTGAGGTTTGATCCTTCGGGTTTACTATTCTGTAAACGGAAATGCTAGATTTATCCGAATGAATGTAACACCCAAGCACATATTCATGGTTGCTGTTAAATGTTCCTTGTTGGAGAGGTTATAAGGACAAAATGGGACAGTACCCAAAACTAGAAACAGAGATGAAGTTGATTGGCCTGTTTGTGTTCAAATATTGACTTCACGCTGCCTGCTGCTTGTAGTGGTTTTGCCAAGCAGCTTAACATAGAACACCATTGAGTGGCTGCATGCCTCAGCAGGGGGTCATGTGAAACCATCATTTAAAGCTTATCAAAGAAGTATGCCATTGCTTGCAACCCCAAAGGTTGCCTATAATAATGTCTGGAATTGCTGAGGAAGATTTTGAGATGAAGAGGGTGCAACATCTCAGAGAACTGACAATGAGGTTATCTGATGTAAAGTCCTCATCCCTTTGGGGGTCTATAGAGAGATGCTGAATAATAATATGAATGATTAACACCAGCAGTCTAGACTTGGAAAGAGTATGACTGGGTGTTTACTGATCATGGTCATGATCAGTGAAAGGTGTTGTCTAAGAGCTTTAGGACCCTACAGCAATGTTGCAATGATGTTACAGAACTGCACATCCACTGAGTACAAATTGCACAGCTTGGGTCAAGTTGGAGCATTCAGCATCTTGGAAGACTCACATGAGCACGTGGACACAGACACAGACATAAAAAGAGGATAGGTTAGCCCTTTCCTAATGTAACCATACACCAGAACCTGGTATATCTGTGATTACCATGTAAAGCAGTGTTTAGGATTAATGTCCGATAAAAAGTGTTATTTTGAGATCTGAAGACAGCTCTTAACTTTGTGTTCAACTCAACCAAGCTGTGTCAAACTCAAATGCTCAATGTGAAATCAAAATATACAATACAAGGAAAGCACCTTCACATGCTCTATCCAACCACACTAAGTGTTCCATCCACCGCATTCCTCTCTACTGACCTGCCTACAATTTCCATCAGCCATGGCACTCATTCATAAGGACATCACAACTGTGCAAACTTAGCATTATTGCAAACTGCACGTAGACATCCCAGCTATTCGACTTTGGCAGGTACCTCTCCAGACTTCACCACGCTCACTCACTGATACATTTCCTATCTTTCACAGTACAAGGTGCCCAAAGTTGGAGGCAGTAGCACTCACAGTGGTGGACCAGCTTGTCCTTCCTCTGATGGAGGATGTGGAATGAGATTGAAACAATCAATGATAATGGCATTCTTCATCCCACTTCCTCTCAAGCTACAATCACTTCCAATTTGCAAAGCCAAACCTTGCAGCTCTTGTTATCTTTTCAGGTATCAAGGAACCAATGTCACCAGGTTAGCTGCTGTTTGATTTTTACTGGATCTGTTTAAATTTGTAAAAGTCACTTGGTGCATTCAAAACTTGCCTATAAATGATACAACATGTACACAGTTGCGCTAGTCATGGGAAAGGTGCCCTTGTTGAATGGGCTCTGGGAAGACTAATTGGTCCCACTCATTTGATATGTGCGAGCATTTCCAAATGGGCTACAACTTGAGAGGGAAATGGCACAGAAACAGCCCATAAGAGGGTTTACTTGTGGAGTTAGAAGGCATGACACACAGGGCTCTCCAGCAGAGGTTCTTAATGAAATTTCAGAAGGTTGAGGAGTGAAATTCATTGTAATGTACAGAATACTGAGAGGCCTGGATAAAGTGGACTTGGAGATGATGTTTTCACTGGCAGGAGAGATTAGGACCTGAAAGCATAGCCTCAGAGTAAAGTGATGGCCCTTTAGAACTGAAATGAGGAGGAATTTCTTCAGCCAGAGCGTGGTGAAACTGTAGAACTCATTAACACAGAAGGCTGTGGAGGCCAAGTCATTGAGTGCATTTTAGACAGTGATAGACAGGTTCTTGATTGGTAATGGGATCAAGGGTTATGGGGCAAAGGCAGGACAATGGGGTTGAGAAACATATCAGCCATGATCAAATGGCGCAGAAGTCTCGATTGGCTGAATGGCCCAATTCTGCTCCTATATCTTACAGTCTAATGGTCTTACAGTTCATAATACCACATCCTTTTCAATAACACAGATGCAGACAAGATTTCTTTGCGCTGCTGAATACATCTTCAGTTAAACTGCTTTACACGAGGGTGCTAACTAGAGCGGTGAGACTCAAAGTGGCCCATCCTACATCAAATCTGTATCCACCACTGACTAATGTCACATCACTTCCAGTGCATATTTGCTCAAACCCACACCGAGTTGGAGTTCAGAACAGGTTGCAATTGAAGTGAATGGGTGAAGTGTTTCTAATGAAAATAAAAGTGGCAGCGTCCAAACTCCTAGCACTACAGAGCCTGGTTTCTCAGTCTTTGGATTACCATTGAAACAGTTCAGCTTTCAGATTAAAGTTCAAGCCCAGCTTCACAATGGAATGTGACTGTGACAGGGTAGTGTTATGAACCAGACCAAACCCCCTCAAAATATTCAGAAGATAGTCAGACCTTAACATTTTCTTCTTTTAGAGGCAAGTACAAGTTGTTGCATTCCAGATGCAATTTGGCTGGTCAAACTACCAGATTTGAAGCAAAACACGCTTTATTCATACATTATAGTTAAAACATAAAAAGAAGAAAATGCAATAACAAATCTATTGGAAAACTTAACAGAATAATAATTTATTAAACTACTGCTAATTATCTGCTCCAATATAATAAAATTCCATCAGCATATCCTTGGAAAAAGGCAAATTCAGTAAAACAACTTGTTTCACTTGCAATTCCAGTCCAGGAAGAAAAAGATCAAGAGAAAACCATGAGACAGCGTAGCGGGGAGAGATGTACTGCAGCTTCCAGCCAGCTTCAAGACCCCAGCAACAACTGCTACCGACAAAACTAAAAAGCCTGGTTCTGTGGGAGCCTGACACATTCATTCAGGCTGCTTCCATTGTTGCTACTTTTAAAAAAAAAGCCCAAAGACTCACAAAGCATTT